GTAGGTCTATGTTAAGTGAGTGCATGCCACAGACATCTCTATGCATGGGAACAGAGATCCAAACCCCCGCTCCAAGGTGTCCTGGTTTTCCCAAATGAAAATATGGTCACCCTACTGTTTTCCCCGACGTCATTTACGTTGAGTTGCAATAAAGGCAAAACTCTCTGCAGATACTTGTCTTTGTCAACCACTCTATTCAGCTGGCTTTTGAAACACACGGCGAGATGGTGGGGGCTGGGTGGTGAGAGTTACGGGGGCGAGAAACGCAATAGTTACTTTTACTAGTAACTAGTTACTTTTATTGTGGAGTAACTGAGTTAGTAACTAGTTACTTTTTGGGAGAGGTAACTAGTAACTAACTAATTACTTTTTCAAAGTAAGGTGTCCAACACTGGTGGTCCTGATGTGTTGCTGGGTTGCTTTCCCTAAAATATGGTTAATTTTTCCTTTTAGATATTAAACAGCCTTTATATTCCTGTTTTTTTGTTTGTTTTTTATAGTTTTTTGTAGCCATTAAATACTTAACTGAACATTTTAGAGGGATGAAAAAGCAACTAATTATCTCTCCGTCCTGGTTTTGTCTCTGCAGCTGTTTAGTAGTACAGGCGAGTCCGTGGAGGGAACCAACGGAGAGCTTCATGAAAAGGTAAAACCTGATCAACAGCTGATAGCCTTTAGATTTCTGGTTTCCAGTGATAGGATTTAATGGGTTTACTTTGAGACTAAATTAATGAAGTTGTATAAAGGAAAGAAAAACACCTTGAAGATTTAGCTGTATTTAGTAATACTGTATGTAAAGTGGTCTTTTTTATGTAAAACTGTAAAAACAACTCATAGACTAAAAATCTCATGTTTAGAATAAATGTGTAGAAACTCTGAAAGATTGTCAAAAGACCGTTGTCCTCAATGGGTACCCAGGTGTGTAAAGCCTTTCTGTATTTTTTCTCAGAGCATGAATGGATGCATTCCCTCACCGTACCTCAGCAGAGACAGGAGGAGTGAGTTCATGAGAGGAGGAGTCGCTTCAGAGAAAGAGGCTCTGCTGCTGGGTAAATATGTTTAACCAGGAAAAGTTGATGCATTTCAAAATGGGTTTACACAAGATTTGAACCTTCTGCCGCTTTACAGGCACAAAATTGCAGGCAAAAAAGCACCCCATTTTATCACGGTGGAAATTTGTGTTTTAATTATTTTAATTCAAAAACCTGAAAGGTACGGTGTGCATTCAGTTTCAGTCCCTTTTAAAAGTAAAACCAAGTGCAGAAGACTATTAGTCAAGTTGTGCCTGTAATTTCAGTTCAACATCATAATCCCAAGCCTTTAGCAGCTTACAGCACAGATCTCAGTACTCAGTACCATGGCAGTGAGACTCCAACTAAACTGGCCTGCTGATAGGTGTATCAGGACCATGGCAACTCTGGATAAACTGCAGAAAGGACCTTCAGGGTAGAATTGGTAGAAAAAAACATCAGAAGCTCTATTTGCAAAGAGACAACATCAATAAAACTGACCTTTGAGGGTTTTATGTAAAATGCTGTGTGGTGGAAAGGTAAAACCCACAGTGAAACAGTGGTGGCAGTATTATGCTGTGGAACTGCTTTTCCTCAGCAGAGCGAAGAAAGCCAGCCAAGGGGAATGTTTCACTTTGAAATGATTTCAGTTTAATTTATTTAAATTGTGTTAATTAACAACTAACAACTCGTCATCTCAGAGCACTTTATAGAGGTAATTCAGTCAAATAACACATTCAGATTCGTTAAAGATTTTCTATCTAAGGGAAACCAGCTGATTGCATCCAGACATTGACCTTGCAGGATTCACTCCTCCTTGATGAGCAGGTGGAGACAGACATTGGTTATACAGCAATCCCTCATAACAAGCAAGCATGCAGCCACAGTAAAGAGGGAAAACTCCCTTTTAAAAGGGAAAAACTTCCCGCAGAACCAGGCTCTGCGTGAGCAGCTATCTGCTGATGAACATAGAAGCACTGATCCGTGTTAGAAAAGGTAAAAGTGTTTTACCTCCATAGATGGCTTTATAGACGGTTGAGCAGGTGAGCTATGAGCCAGTTCTTATCTAAAAAGGGATTAAAAAGAGAACATCCACTTAGTCACAGTTAAAGCTGAGCCAACAAGCATGTTTAACAGAGAAACATGACTAAACACTGAAAAACAGGCCTAACTCTACCATCTACAATTAAAGAGGCTGATTGCAGCAGCCAGCTGATGTTTTGATCCAGGATGATGTCACAGACAAACAGGACCAGACCAAATCAGAAAAAAAGAGGGGTGTGTTTCCTGGACGGGGCCGCCTTTTACTGTTGCTTTTTGTATCTCTGCTTCTGACTCCTTGAACCCCAGTCGGTCTCGGCAGATGGCCTCTCACACTGAGCCTGGTTCTGCTGGAGGTTTCTTTCTGTTGAAAGGGAGTTTTTCCTCTCCACTGTTGCTAAAAGCATGCTTAGTGTGAGGGTTTGCATTTTAGTCAAATAGAAACCTTTGAATCAATTTAACTGTATGATCTGGTGAACTGTAAGGTGCCTTGAGATTAAATGTGTTGTGAATTGGCGCTAAAGAAATACTGAATTGAATTGAATTAAATTGAGGACATAAAGTTAGGGGTTAAACTAGCAAATACTGTAGAACTGTAGAACAGAGATAGAAGGAGCAGAATATCTTTCTCCTGACCTTTTAAATGATCAGACTAGTGAAAATAACAAATCCAGATGCATTTTCCCAGCAGAGCTTTAGCTGCTGTGCTTTGGTGTCTCACAGTGTTTCAGACACAATGAACTGAAGAGGGGAAACCTTTAAACCAGTGTGTCTGGGTTTAGACTTCAATGAAAAACAGCTTTTCTGTCGTTTTGCACACTGAGATCACTTAAGAGAACAAACACTCACAGGATGCTGATTCTGGTCCAAAATCTCTGTCAGCTGCAGGTGCATTGTCCTTATGTAAGAACGGTATGTTGTAGTTTGCAGAAGGCCACATGCAGGGCCTGTTGGCTCAGCTGCATCATATACAGCACATACTGTAGCAGCACTTAAAGAAAACTGTGTCTGATTTATCCCTCCAGAATTTCACCAGGAGAGACTGAAATTGCATTTATTTTAGCCTCCTCTGTTTTCCAAACTCATTTAAACCCCTCATGCTGAAGAAACTGTGAAGCCGTTATTAAATGAAACAGAGCAATGCGTATTTGGTCTACTGTGTCCACACTGCACAGGCGAAGCAACAGCAGCATTTATCTCTCTTAGTGGCTCAGAAAACATAATACAGATATAAGAAAAGAGGAGGCAGGGCTCTCTGTCTTCCTCCAAGGCTGCCTGTAAGGGAGGACGGATGATTTAAAACAGGGGAGGTTCAAAACAAACACAATTTTGTTTTAAAACATAAAGTCAAAACATGGAGTGAGTGTGCATAATTCATTAATTGAGCACATTTTTTTCTGAGATGTTACAGCTGTTGTCACTCCATTTCTAATCAGAGCTCTTCTCAAATTATAGTGCTGTAATAAACACGACACCTTTTGCATCAAAAAAGGCAGTCCTATGAGCCACAGGGCTGAGGACTTTTAGCAGAACAAAAAGGGTCCTTGAGTAAGACCGTCAATGGGTTTGGCTTATCACAGGCTAA